GGGGGGGGGGGAGAGAGGGACGGAGGGAGGGGAAGAGAAAAGAGAGGGAGAAATGGAGGGAGGGCGGGAGGGAGGGGAAGAGAGAAGGGGGATGAGAGGGAGAAAGTTGGTGAGGTTTCCATATGGGCTTGTCCCACTGCTGTTTGTCCAAAGCTCTTGCAATGCTGGACACACGGATGGTGTGCACTGTGGTTGTTCACTTGAATGCGCGAGGTTTTGGGGCATACATGTATCCGTGCAATGTCTGCCATATCCGCGTGTTGTTGGAACGTTGTGAAGGGAGCCAGGTGTATGTGTGTGTGGAGTCCAACAAGTCAAGAGCTATGCATACAAGTACACTTGATGTTCTTCAGGATGTTCAAATTTATCCATCTTGCTGGGGTTTAAATAGCGTGTCACGTCCGAACTTCATCAAACGTATCCACGGCGTTGTGTTCCTTGGGAACAATGCCGACAACAGAGACCGCTGCAGGCCGTCGTTTGAACAGCAGCGCGAAAACGTTCATGATGGCGTGCGACGCCACCCAGAAAGCCCCAACCCTAACTCTACAACCCTAACCCTGAACCTAACCCTGGCAGCTATTTTGCTCCTGTTTCTCTTCGCTTCTTGGACCCAAGTATGTTCACCCAACGCCTCCCCCTTGCTATCTTCGCACCCAAACGCCTCGAACTATGCGCAACGGCCGGACAGGGGTCTTCGGTAGTCTGCGTGAAGGGCAAGGACTGCGTGGTGTTGGGGGTGGAGCGGCGAGCGACCGCCAAGCTCCAGGACCCTCGCACGATCCGCAAGATCGTGAAGATCGACAGCCACATCACGCTGGCCTTTGCAGGTCTTACGGCTGACGCACGGGTGAGAGCTAGCTGGTGGTAGAAGTTTTTGTTTTGTTTTCTTTCAACCTTATGTTTTTTTCGGTGCGTTTTTTCTTGTCGGGCGTGACTGCAACACGCGATGCGCTGCGCCTTGTCCACTAGCTGCAACCCTTGTCTTGTCTTGTCTTGTCTTGGAAGAGTTTAAGTACCAGGCCGCTTTCTCTTCTTGGTACTGCTGTCTCCGTCATGTTCTACTACAAAGCCTGCTGTTGTACCGTGCGTGTATGGGTGCCGCGGGACCCTTGCCATTGCTCGTCCGTGCCTGCTTCCTCAATATTGTGTTTACCTCTCCATTCAATTCAGGTGCTCGTGGACAAGGCGCGGCTGGAATGCCAGAGCTACCGGCTCACGTGCGAGGACGCCCCGTCCATCGGTGAGCAGGCAGCGTGGCTGAAACAAGCACGTTTTGCGCAGTAGTCTACGCAGCAAAATTGATGAAGCACACGCATGGGATAAAGTATTCAATCCGTGCTTCGGGGTTAGGGTTAGGGATAGGGTCTGCGTGCCCCCTTTGTATTGTTTTCCTGTGCAAAGATACTCTTAAAATCCTGCGTAGGCGGTCCGTATTGCGTGTCTGTACATCTACTCTTCCAGAGGTGGTTGAACAGGGTTTGAATAGTCTGCTCTGCCGGGGCGAAATTGCGCCCTGTGAGGTGGTTGCATTTCTGGAAGTTGTCTGAAGAGAAGGACGTTGTTTGTTGCACGTTCCGCGCTCGCACGGATCCACCACCGAGTGCCGTCCTGCGACGATGTCGGTGTGCTGCTGCGTGCTGTGGTGTCGTGGGGTTCACGCTTTTGGCGTGTTGCGGTCTGTTCCATCAGGCACCATCGCTCTGCCGAACAGAGGCTCCGGAGAACAGCCGGTGTGTCTGTCTCGTGTTCTTAGTGTTGCGCTTCGAGCGCGAAGACAACCTGCGCATCCCCAAGGGTGTCCTTTCACCCGCTCTCGCTCTCGCTCTCTCTCCCTCTCTCTCTGCAATTCCCTTGCTATTGTGAATGTTTGTCTCAACATCTTGGCCCGCGTCCCCACCGTCCTCACACTGCTGTTGCTGTTATATGCGTCGTTCGCGCGTGTTGTTCGGCAGAGTACGTCGCCCGCTTCATCGCGCGCACGCAGCAGCGCTACACACAGCGCGGCGGCATGCGACCGTTCGGGGTTTCCTCCATCTTGGCTGGGTTTTCGCAGGACGGGACACCGCAGATCTACCAGGTGCGCCGTCATGCCCGCCGACATCTCCACGGGCTTCCTCTCTCGAAACCATGTGTTCATGCTGTTGCAGATTTGTTCTACTCGGTTGCATGCATGCACGGTATTTCGATGGCGGCGCTGCTGGTTGTGAAACAATTTCTTCTTACGTGTCCACATTGGAACGAACGACACCGTTATGTATAAATATGGAAGCGTGGAGCATGATTGCCTTGGTGCGCTAGTGCATCCGCTGTCCTCGCTGCATAGAGCGGCACCGCCGTCTCCACCCGCCGTGTGAAGGGAGAAGGGCGTGGTGTAGCCCCACCAACCCGGACCAAACTGTCGCCCCGAGGAGGTAGGCTGTCCGAGGCGCTGGCGGCTCTTCTCCCTCTCGTTATTCTTCTCATCCTCACCCCCCCCCCCCTTCTGTCTGTCTGTCTGTCTGTCTCTGTCTGTCTGTCTCTCCGTACCTGTGTCTCTGCCTGTCTATCTGTCTCTGCCGCTTCTCTATCTGCCTCTCCCTCTCCCCCCCGCCTCTCTCTGTCTTCCTCTCCCTCTCCCTCCCTTGGCGAACGATTGGGTTGTTTAGACGGATCCGGCCGGCACCTACTCTGCGTGGAAGGCCAACGCCATCGGCGGGAGCAACAGCAACAACATGCGAGAGTTCTTGGAGAAGAACTGGGCGAACGACATGGACGAGGGGGCGGCGAAGAAGCTCTGCATGAAGGTGGGGCTTTTCGGCGGTGTTTTTGATGTCGTCGTTATTGCTGGTGATGGTGTGATGGTGGCGGGGTTGATATTGTGATAATCGTGTTTACTGGAGGCTGTATTTGTGCGGATGGCAACAGCTTCACCGTCCAAGTGCCAAGCGAGTGTGATGGAGTACTCTGGTTTTTCTGCCCCTCGTTTCCATCCTGACTCGACCTTTGCATCTGCCCGTCCCGTCGACCAAAAGCGCAGCAGCGAACACAGCGGCAGCAGCAGCATTCCCGCTCACCCCTAGCCTTACTTCTAAGCAAGCCTCGACCGTGGCTCCGTCGCGTACCCTTATTCCCTTTCCGCCCGGTTTCCCATGCCCACCGTCGCCTGGCTTGATGGGGATCTTGGCCCTTGGGTGTTGTGCAGGCATTGCTGGAGGTGGTGGACTCGGGCGCAAAAAACATGGAGATTGCCATCGTCAGGTTCGGGAAGGCCAACGAGGTACGGACAAGAGCTGACGTCGGCTCTTTTTTTTTTTTTTTCATGCACACCTGCTGTAGCGGAACGAAGTGCTTGTGTTGAACTATGTAGACTGCTGCATCCAGCGTTGGTGTGTTCGCCGTACACATGGACATATGTCCGGGTTGCGATGGGCTGGCCCTCTTTTTTGGCCCGCTATCCACGCGATATGCATGCTGCGCCAGCTCTAGATTTTTGCCATGTGGCTTATGCATCCACCTAAGACTTGCCCATTGTTGTTGATGTACGTGATGCGCCAGTTCGCTTGTTTCCATGCAGCACGCATCCAATACAAGACACGTGCGTATATGGCCTATTGTATTGTATGCACATCTGTCTTCAGATGATGACGGAAGAGATGATGCAAGCGGTCGTGGCCGAGCTGGAGGCGGAGGCGGAGGAGGCGAAGGAGGCTTCAGCGGGAGACGTGCAAATGACGTAGATAGCAGCAAAAAAGCAGTAGAACCTTCATATACACGCCGGGTTGTTGGCGCTAGCTCTCTTCTCATGTAGGGGGCTGGGAGGGGGACACAAACACGCTGGGTTGTCGACGCTGTTTCTCTTCTTAGAGAGGAAATATGGGGGTTAGGCTACTGTAACCACCATGTGCAAGATTCGCAAACGTTATTTGACACGTGAGCCTGGCTGGCGTTTTGTTGATCCACCATATGGTGGTATTGGTCTGTGTTCGCGCTTACCTGCTGCGACTGGCTTGCTACTAAAAGTAGTTGTCCGTATTGGAGACTCAACAAAGGATGGGCGAAAGAGTAAGCCCGAAAATGCGGTGCGTTATGCTCTCACTTGTAGCACGGGGGTGCATAACCCGTCGATTGCCGGGGCGAAAGCAGGGATTACAACACCGTTTTTTTGGTGTTTTTCCGGTGGCCAATTGGCGTTCTTCGAAAAGGCAAGGGGGGCAACGGAGGGGCCTCACATTGCGAAAACCACTATATTCGGGTTTAGGTCCTTGCGACTCGAAATGTTGGCATCTTCGCGTGCTCTTTGACAAGAACAGGATGCTTTTATTTCGGTTCGACGAGAAGTGGAGCCCACTCACCGCCTGCCTGTCGATCAAGGCAGAAACACAACCGCCTCGAGCATGGCCTCCGACTATTGCTACTATCTGCGTTGCGCCCACGGACCTCCAACTATTAGTATACTCGCTCATCCCTTGGATCGGTCTCACCCATCCGGATAAGAATCGCACGGCAGGCAAGGCCGTTGGACGACAAACGGTTTAGAAGCAGCCGGCACTGGGTGAAACCCCTTGCGATGGTGACTTCGACATGGACAGACGCTCTCGACGACGTGTGTTGGCGCAAGTGCTTAGGACTAGCGGGACGCGCACTCCATTGATTGATCCCAGACGGTTGGTTTTGGCAAGTCAGGAGAAGCGATGTCCAACAAATCGAACCCTCGAAAAAAACTGGAAGAGTACATCTGTCCGTGAAGCGAAGTTCCAACTCTGCAGGGCGCACCTTAACAGCTGACGCCGTGTCCCCGCGGAGGCAGTCAGGGAAACGCTAGCTGACAGGAAATGGAATCTTACCGATCCGGAGCTCATCTACCCAGAGAGGAGAGCAGGAAAACTCCGTGACCTATCCGCACACACAAGGATTTGCCGAGAGGATAACAAAACAACGGCGGCGTTGTTACCTACCATGCGAGAAAGACTGACTTTTCACGCTAGCCGCTTGAAGAGTTTCTTGTCGCGAAACACGCCGCCGTACTTTCCACTTTGCTTCGCCACCTCGACGGCGGTCCCAGGCGCCAAATGAACGTGCCGCGCCTCGAGGTTCGCCCGCCACCTTTCGGCGTCGAGAGTCAGACACTTCTCAGAACAGAAGCTGACAGATCGCGTCAAGCGGCAGCGGTGAAGCCGCACACCACCTTCCGTCGCCGCCTTCGCCCCACACCCCAAGCAGCGGTACATCGCCATGCCCGGGCCCCCGCCGCCGCCTCCAGCGTCACCATTGGGGCATGCATCCTTGCCCGGTGTGTCGAGCCTTCCTGCGGCAGCGCCGGCGTCTGTTCGTTTCTTGCTAGATCCAGCGGTAGACGCAGACACGCCCCCTCCAGAGGAGAAAGCGCCCTTCCTGGCGAACACCATGAGCTGGTTGGCCGTGGAGGAGAAGCACGGGAGTTCCACCTCCTCGACCAAGTCCCACCCCGCCCGCAGGGCCGCCTCGAACCGAGGGCTACCGGTGTCGCCCCCGACTTCCCCGATGTACAGCAAGACCTTCCCGGAAAATCTCGCCAGGGCGTCCGCGCCCATGCAGCCGCTCGCCCCGGCCCCCACACCGACGGAAGGCGGAGGGTAGCACAAGAGGAGCACCGGGTAAGCGGCCGAGCTCAACGCCTGCAGCTGTTCCGGGCCACCCTGTTCAACCACCGCCCAGGCGGGCGCGCCTCCGTGGTATTCGTTGTGCGTAGGGCGCTCCAATTGTCCTTCGCCGTGTCGCCCTCCTAGACTCCCTTCTCGTTTTGGTCGTTTTTTCCGTCCCCTCCGCCCTCCGTTGCCGGTACCTCTCCCTCGCTCTCGCTCCCGATCGATTCCACCAGCAACGGAGGCGGCGGAGGCAGCGGAGACTCCGGTCCCGCCAGGGACCCTCGACGGGTCCTTGTCAATGGCGAGGAACTTCAGCGGCGCAGCTTCCTTTGCATTTCCACTAGAGAGTGTCCTGCCGGCTTTACCCAGATATAAACTTACCCCCCTGCTTGTACCGCCACCGTCGCCGCCCCCGTCCCCACCCCAGCCACCTGAGAATGGTCCTCGGCCTTCTAGCACCCACTTCCAGTACCCCAACCCTGCCCCCACCTCCACAATCCCTCCTGACCCTCCCTCCTGGCCCCTTCCACCCCCGACCCCGCACGCGTCGAGCGCGCGTTTGCACGCGTCCAGCGCGCGTCTGTTGGGGACAGCGAAGGCGAGCAATCTCGCCGACCAATCCCTGGTCACGTCGCACCGTAACCGAATAGGAGGTGGTAAGCCTGGGTCCGAGCCGCGCATCGTGCCTTCGTTGTCGCCAAACCGGAGAGGGAAGTGGGGAACCCACGACTTAGCGCTGGCGCAGACGGCGGTCTCGAGCCACGCGGACTGAGCCACGGCCAGGAGGGGGTTTTCCAAAACGGGGAGCCGTATCTCGCCGCCGCCGCTGCCGCCGCCGCCGCCGCTGCTTCTTGAGGGTAACCCTGGAGCACGAGATACGAAGCAAGGAAATGAGGCCACCGAGCGAGGACGAGAAAGGGACCAAAGCAAGTTGAGGTCATTCGGGAGAAAAGCACGGCGAGGAGGTTGCTCAGACCTCGAGAGAGAGAGAGAGAGGGAGAGAGAGAGAGAGAGAGAGAGAGAAGAGAAGAGAACGAAGCCATGTTTTACAAGTGTGGAACGCAGCTGCCATCGCTATAAACGATACTCCCACGCCCATAGCGGCACCGACACGGTATCAACATCTCCCGACCCAACCCCATTGGACGAAGATACAACAGGCAGCACAAATGAATGTAAGTTGTTTTTGAGCACTCTCTTTTACGAACTGCACAAATGCGTTGATCTTGCGGACGTTCTAAAACGTAATTAGCATGACCAATAGGGGACCGCTAAAGGATGCGAGACAGCGGCGATCGACTGTGTTGCCCAAAGAGCATGACCCCGATACTCCAATCGATACCCATACTCCGACAATTGACAAAAAAAAAGCAAGCTAACGACACGTGCCTCTGTTCGCATGTCGCTGTGCCCCGCCGTCACCCACGGGGAGGTCGAAAACGTCCACCAACACTCGTAGGAGAGCCGGGTTGTTGCCCAACACGGCCGACGCTCGCACTTCCGCGACGGTAGGCACGTGGAACGCTAGGCCGACAAAGTACACCTCGGGAGGAGGGACAACATGCTGCGACGAGGATTCCGTGTCAGCCGTAACGCCGCCGGCGTCGAAACGCGAGGCCGCGGTGTAGCGCGCGTGCCAGTAGGCTAGGTCCAGCTCGGAAGCGATGCCGGTGCCGAGCGCCTGTTCCATGTATTTTTAGTCGCGCAAGTCGCGGTGGATTTTGCTCAAATGCGGTGCATGCATGTATTCATAAGCCTTGTGTGGCGGAACGAACTAGCGATGAAAGCGAGATAGTGGCTGAGCGAGGAGGTTTGTCGATGGAAATCCGGCAGGGAAAGTCTCGGTCACTGATCGACCACTTCCCCTCCATGTGTCCGGGGCGTCAGTGGTTGTAGTGTTGGCCCAAGTTGCCTCAAATCCATCGGTCGCAGCAGAGTATGAAGACGATAACAACGCTTTCAACAATCGTACCGGCAACGCATCTCGGTCGGAAAGATGTGCCGTATGCAGTACAGGCCCGCAGCTAAGAAATACCACTTGCATTTGCATATTTTGTTTGAGAAACAGTCGCTCAAAATTTCACGAAGAAAAAGGAAATAGGTCTAGTCTAAGAAATTAGCTCAGCTGCAGATCCTACACGAAGCTCAACATGATAGCCTGTGCGCGACAGCAGTAGTGACGAAATAAGAAACGGAAAGCCTCTTTCAGATTTTGACGTTTCTTCGGGCCCGTTCCGTACAACAGCAATGGGCTTGTTGGACTGCAAATCCGAACTCCGCACCTGATAGATCGAGGAGGACGGTAAGGAGTCTGGCATGACCCACCGCCCGCCAGTGTCACCGGACAACAGAGCCTCGGCAGCAGAGAGGCAACGCGCCACGGCGGGGGGGTCATGCAAAGCGCCGCCGAGCGCTGCCATCGCCTGCCTGGCCTGGTTTATAAACCTGCGAGAGAGTCTGATATGATCCAACACAGGGGGGGCAGGGAGGAATGAGGATCCGTGGTCTGTTCACGTATCTGCCGAGGAAAAGCACCTATGAGGAAGCAATCATTATCCTATGAGCGAAGACACCATAATCACCGGTGCAACTGCAACCAGAGCAAGGGTGGGATTGGGTACGAAGCAGACGAGAAGATCGCCTGCAGGCGCACGATCAGCAACGCTGCTCTGTCAGACTACGCAGAAACGAACACCGTCATCATGCCCCCGTCGCACCTTGACAGGAACCACCCCGCCCCCCACCCTCCGAGGCCTTCGGAGTCCTCGAACAGGCCGCAATCCCCGACAGCCCTGGCATTCCGCACCGCCGAGAAGAGCCGTCTCAATCGCACTCCGACCTCGTGCGCCGTTGCCGCTCCTGCTGCATCGCCGCGATAGCCCCGGTATTGCTGCTGCTGCTGCCCCTGCTGCTCGCGGTCCATTTCTCGGGCATCCACCAGTTCGTGAGCGCAGCTGCGATGCCCACAACTACATGTACACATGTTCGGTGTCGCTGTTGAAGGTTTGAAACGCACGCATCCGCAGCCTTGTCCCCAGCAGTAGCCTAGCTTCCACCCACTTGCGTGGAGGAAGCGGCCGATGACCTCGCCGGGCGTGGTTCCTGGCTGTGCTTCAGGAGGTTGGGCTGCAGCTGGTCGCTCCACCAGTGCCGCCGCCCGTGCGCCGACTGCTGTGACATGTTCCGGCACCAAAAGCTGCGGCGATGATGGTGGCGATCTCGGGGCCTTCGAAGCCCCGAAAAGCGGTTGAACTGCCCTGCTGAACCTAGCAGATGCATCTCGTGGCGACGAGGAGCCTGTCGGCGCTGTCGGCGTTGGTCTATCTGGTCGCCGACCTCTGGTGTCGCCCGAGGTGGAATTGCGCTTATGAAGAGATCGGTTGCCGCTGCTCCTGCTGCGTACATCCGATTTTTTCGGTGGTCTCGCGCCGGCGGGTGGGAGGATTCTGGGGTTCACAACTGCGGGAAAAGAGGGAACAAGTGGTGAAGGAAGACATCCTGCCTTGCGCTTACGACCCATGCTTTTCTGCAGTGGAGACACGAAGTTGTGTGGCACAAGCAAGAGGGATCGTGCAACAAGGGGTTTCGCGTGTTGAACCAAGGACGGCTCCACGATAATTCACAGTTGCGGGTCCCCCTCCGCACCTTGCACCCGGCCTCCCCGGCCGGGGCCCCCTACTGCGCATCCTACGTACGTCCCAGGAAGCCACTGCGCATCGT